TGCCCGCTCTCTTTAAGTTAACTTGTTAGCTGATTTTTTTTCCCTGCAGGAAAGTCAGATTTTTCAAACTGACATGTTTATTGTTGGATGCGCGTTGTTATCTTGAAAACATTTTGCTTGAAGAGAAGTGTGGTAAATCTCGAATTACTCACACATGTGAGGCGCTGCAGTTTCATATGAAGACAAGGGCTTTCTATCTTCAAAAATCACACAGTGCCCATCGCATCGGTGCGGCAGCGTGAGAGCCCCCGGACCGCTGAGTGTGGAGCACGTGAGGATCCGTGTTTATAATCACCGAGGACCTTGAAGATCATTTAGGAAAGCAACAGTGGACGACTGGATTAAGGAAAACCAACTTGAAAACTGCGGTGGATACCCCAGCTTTTGGACGTGGTGACCGACTGACCCACTGACGCTGTTGCAAGGTCAGCTTTCACTGTGTTCAGCTTGCATCTCTCTGGAACCAGATCCAGCTGTGGACACTGCCTGCTTGTGGGTTCGCCTTGTGACCCGGGTTCTGCTCGGCCCTTACTCCGCGGTTTCACTGAGTTACGCGCGGCCGCTCCGTAGAAGATCGAGTTATTCCTGGAAAGGGAACGGTGTTAGGGCTTTGTCTTGAAACTTTGAAGAGAATAAACAGAGAAAGAAACTGAACGTCGATTCTCAAGTGAAGCCAGCCCTTGATGGCAATTCCCGTGTTCTCTGGAAGATGTCCTGATGTGGCTCGGTGACAGCCCTGGGCTGGCTGTGGGTGGCGGTCGACTGTAAGCAGCAGGCTCTGGTCCAGCCCAAGGTGGCCCTGAGTCTGAACAGCAGCGACAGCATCGCGGCTGCCGGCGAAGGGGGGGGGGGTGGCGTGGGGTGTTGCTTCATGACAGCGTGTTTGGCACTAAACCAAGTACCCTCATTGGAAATGTGCATTTTCAAAGGAAACATTAAATAACCAAAACCAAACTGTTACAATTTTTCTAATGGGGAGGGGTAAGTCATTTTATAAGAAACCACTAAAGACTATTGACAATTAGGGATACTGAATACTGAACAGATGGTGCCAGGAAATCTGGTGTAAACTGCTGAGTGCCGGCCATAAACTCCCCAGCCTGCCCGGGCAGCACCGAGAGCTGTGAGGGTGAGCCCTGCCCGGGGGGAGCCCACAGCCGCAGGAAGCACCGTGGCGGCCGGGGTGGCTGAGTCCTCCAGGTCTTTCCTGGGAAACCCGACTGATTGGGCTAATACCAGCCACCTGTTTTGTTCTAGCTGGCAGACTTGGGAAAAACAAAAACAAAAACAAAAACAAAAACAAAACAAAACAGAACAAAGCAGGACAGGTATGGCCACTGGCTCGCGGAGGAGCGTGCCTGGTCCTGCTCACGGGGCCCTCGGACATCCTCACAGAAGCCGGCGTGGGTTTTGACTCTTTCATGAGCCGAAATCAAGATGTCTCCCCAGAGCTCTGCCCGTGAAGCAAAACAGACACTTGGCACTTCCAGAAGCCGCGGGAGCCATCTGTGTTCAGGACGACTTCCTAATGATGTGTGTGCGGCTAAGAGGAGGGCAGAGAATGGACCAGCGCAGCTGAAACAGCTGAAGCGGGTGGAGGCAGAGGGCTTAACGCGGGAGTGTGAAAAGCCTGGGAGAAGCCAGGACGCCTTCGCAGCCCCGGTGTGAACAGACCGGTTACCTTGTAGGAGGCCGCAGGGTTTACAGAGCAAATGTGAGAAGTGGGAGGAAACATAAAAACACCAGGAAAGCAACAGGAGCCTTCAAATGCAGAATCATCAACAAAGCCGGTGGCTCAGAGGAGTGTGCGTTATTTACACAGTTTAACATGAAACTGAAAAAAACACATCACTCATCTTGTTGACACTGAAAAATGGAGCATTTCCACGGCTGATATGGAACAATTCCTACACACCCAGCAGTTTCTGTTGATGTGAGTAAAACTTTGCATTACGGTTGTTTAATAATTTTTTTAGAAATATGAGAGAGTCTGTTCATGAGGAACACCTGGTATAAAATAGTTCCGGGCCTCTACAAACGGAGGTAAGTAAACCCACCAGGGCACAGCTCAGCCTAAAGGCGCCGGGGGCTGGTGCGTCAGGGCTGCCGAGAGCCCTGGGGTGGGGTCACTTCCATTCCCGCCCAGGAAGTGGCACCGGGTTCCCTCTCCTTCCCCCGCTGCCTCATTTCTCTCTAGAACTTTCACAAGGGTCCAAAAGCGGGCTCCAGAATGATTTAGGTCACAGATCCCTTTGAGAACTCGAGAGAACGTGCTCGTCATTTTGCTCGGAAACCTTGGAGGCATGACTCACCTGGAACTGGTCCGATTCAGGAGGTGTGTCTCCTAGAGCACGGGACCCAATCCTCTGTGCCTTTATTTCCTTATTCAGATATTCGTATGCGCGGTCTGTACTGTGAAATATCAGACGCTGAAAATACTTTCACAAAGGCTTTGCAGCATGAGAAAAATGTGTGTTGTAAACGTGGAATTGTAAAAATGCTGAATTTAAGGGGGAGTGGTGAGTATAGCTCAGTGGCAGAGTGTGGTGTGTGACTAGCGTGCACGTGGTCCTGGGTTCAATCCCCAGTACTTTGATTAAAAAAAATGAAAAAAATAAAATTAAAAAAAAAGCTAAAAAAACCTGAATTTAAAAGTTGCATATACTGTCTGCCTTCAGTCATGTTAAAAATATATATTTACACACACACACATGCACACGCACCCCCACATCACACAGAGAAAGCACCCAAATCAGAGGTGAGGCGTTAATTCCGGATCTTTATCCCTGGGAGGGGTGGCGAGCAGCTTCTGCCTCCCTCGTCAGGTCTCTCCCGGTGGAACTTGGCGCATGCACTCCGGTCCTCACGGAACCTCTCCCGTCGGTGCGGCATCTCCGAGAGGCTCTGGAAAGACCCCCGGCCAAGCTTTCTGGCGGCTGCTTTGGCGCCTCAGCCAGAGTGTGACTGTCGGGGCATCAAGTCGGGGAAAAGGATGGAGATCACCAAGCCGAAGGGGCACCGCTGGGCATCTTCACAGACTCTCAGTTATATCTCAATGGTCAGGGGACAATCCTGTTGTATCAGCTCAGACTCAGAGATGCTGTGGAGCAGAAGGCAGGGCATTCCTGCCCGGGAACCCAAGCTCCTCACAGACTCGGCCGGGGGGGCCTCCCGATAGCTCCCCAGGCCCTGCTGTCCCTCCATGGCCCATCATGCCGACAGCTTGACACTGGGCGGCAGGGACCCGTTGCTGGTGCAGGCTGTGGGGGCGGGGGAGGTCTCTGCACTGTCTGAAGGAGGGAGACCGCGGCTCCGCCTTCTCCTTGGAGATGATTTTCCACACCCACCAACGCAGAGCGCCTTGGGCCTCAAGTTTCCCATAGAATTTTCAGTTTTTGCTTGAACGCCCTGAACAGGGAGACCACACCAATGTGCGTGAAAAT